TGGGATTTGAACACCCAACCTACCACTTGGGGGGTTGACAACCTGACCACTTCACTAGGTCGCCACACCCCTATATATAATATTTTATATTTGTTATATTTGTTATATTTATATATAACTTTTTTTTTTATTTTTTTTAACCTTAAGCAGTTATTCTAGTACTTTATTAAGATTCTTAAAACTATATATTATACAATTATATAGAATTTTCCAATATCTAAGTCTAGCATCACTCAGCCACTCTAATGATACCTAAGTGCAACCTGTCACACTATCTTAGTTAGAGATAAACTGCCCATCTAACTACTTAAAGCTATATCAGAAAAGTCTTTTCTCTTCTGTGACAAACATATTGACTGTCTTCAAAGCTTCTTTCTTCATTTGGTTTGCCTTTTCTGCTTTTTTTTTTCTTTCATCTTCTCTTGCTTATTTATCTTTCTTTACCTTCTTCTTTGTTTTCTCTTTTGCATGAGCACCTTTCTTTATTTTATTCATTATCTTGGTTTTCTTCTCTCAGACTTGTGTTTTTTCATATCGTACCTTTTATATTTGGTCATAAAAGGTGTTTTATACTGTTCTTGTTACTATATCTATGCATTTCTGTATTGCATGCTTGTCTAGGAGTCTTTCAAGCCTTTTTTTCTACTTTTAGCATCATGAGCCCCCTTTATCAGTACTTTTTTGTTTGTAATTTTTTCAGCTTTTGTTTTTCCAAATAATGTCTTATATAGGACTTGTAGTGAAGTTCTGTTTTTTTCTTCTTCCTTGAGTCTGTTCTATGCTGTTGCTATTGCAAGTTTCTGAATCCACTTTCACAAACTCTTTTGTCTACTACAACTTGCTAAATATACCTAAGTCTCTTTTTTTCCAACTTGACATACTTGGCACTTTGTTGTTGTGTATACTTCTGATCTTCTTCTGTTTAGCTTTTCAAGTATTAACAGACTATCCATTATGTACTTGATTGCTGTAGCTCTTTTTGTGCTAAGTTTTTTTGATGTACAATGAACTTCTTTTGTCCTATTTATTTCTTTTCAAAAACTTGACTAATTATATACAGTCAAACCTTCCTAAATACAACCTCTCTAAATGCATCACCACTTTAATTGCATGATAAATGCTTGAGTCTGCAATGGAACCTATAGATAAATGCACATTTTTTATTCTGCAATTGCATACTATTTTTTTAGTCCAACTATAATAAGTTCCCTTCATAAATGCATGCACATGACAATTGACCAATAAAATATTCGGATTTTGATTATTAAATGCATGCAATCAAAGTTATCTTTATGCATGTAATATTATACAAAGTCAATAAAGAAAAACCTCAGTACCAGGATACAGAAAACAAAATATACCTACTATTGATTGGACTATATCAAATTATACTATAAAATAAAGAAATTTTTGTCTAAAATTATTTTATTATACTAGATTTAAATAAACTTTTATTTTTAACTGTTTAGTTTGAATAAGTACAAGCTCTTAGCAATAGAAGATCTAGGTTTAATATTTAAATTTAGTCAGTTCTTGTAGTGCAGTGTATTTTAGTTTGTCAACTGTAACTTAGCAGTTAAAGTTTGGTTCATATCTTGTATATAGATTCTTTAATGAGTTGGGTTTATTAGTAATAAATATCATATTTATCCACTTTATGCATATCTAAATATAAGTAAGAAATTCTTTTGCATATACTTATTAATTTGTAGACTTCTTTCAAATTTGTATAAATAATTATACACATATATGGTTGCTATATCAAATGACACTATATGTCATACTTAATAGAATATATAAGTGCCAGTAAGAAAAAACCTCAAACCAGAAATGACAAACTATTATTTTTGGTTCAAGGTCTTCTATTACTAGTACTCATATATATTTTTTTTATGATTTACAAAGAAAATTTAATTATAGCTCCAGTGTTAGTATAAATTCATTCTATTATGACATAGTATAGTATAATTCTGAATAAATAATAAATTTTCAAGCATGGCAAACACAAAATATGGTTTATCAAAAATATGGTCACAATTTTAATTACTCTAAATAGCTTTTTTCAAGCATTATATCAGGTCTTGCTCTTTTTTATACAATAAATAAAAAGCAAGTTATTGTTAGCTTATCTTGCATCTAACTTATTAATAAAACAAAAAAAAACTATAGTCTAAAATTATAATGCATAATTTTATTCTTATTATAATCATTGTTTTCTAATAAAGTTAGCACAAATCTTATTGTTTTCTAATAAAGTTAGTTTCTGTATGTTTTAGGTACTGCATAACTGAAAAATATTTTATTAAGAACTTATTCACTATAGTAACACAACATGTGAATTAGTTAGGTTTGTATTAATATATATGAGTGACAAAAAAGAAAAACCTATAAATTATTTAACTTATTACATATACTGTAATGATTTACATGTTTTTCCTTTTCATCACAAAAAAATTAATTTATGTATTAAGAATTCATTTACTATAGTGACATACAATATGTGGTAGTAAAATTTGTGCAAAACTTCACTTTTGTCCTGTAAGAACAAAATTCTAATTAGTATCTATTAAGAAAAAGTCAATAAAACCCCAAATAAAGTTTAATGAATAAGTATTCATTGAACTCTATTAACATTATTAAGGTTCTTAATTGGGTTTATTTTGATAATATTAGGATTTTTTTGCTTTTTTTTAGTAATTTTGCATTTAAGTATTTATTGTAAATCTACACCTATAGCCTTTTTTTTTAAACATATAAAACAGTAAAAAAGATAAGCTATTCATATTTATATAGTGGGTGTTATTGTCGTAATAAATTCTATAAAAAAAATATATTAAAAATTTTAATAAAAGTAAATAATTAAGTCTTGCTCATATAATATTTTTATATAAAAACTTACATACCTGTCATATCATAAATTATAAGCTATAACATGTCTTCTAGTAAACAAAAAGGAAAAACTACTCTTAATAATCAACAAAGAAAAGATATTATTACATATAAAGAAAAAAATCCAAATATCAGTCATATCGATCTTGTTAGTTAAGTAAAAAAAAAATATGGGTCTTGATATTCATCCTTCTATCATTGAGCACCTAATAAAATATAAAAATAATATTGAAGACAATCTATCTGCAAAAAGGCAGAAAAAAGTACAGTATCCAGTTCTTGAAAATGCATTACTCAAGTGGATTCTTCAAAATCAAGACCAAATCATCTTAAGTGATGATATTATAATTAAAAAAGCGAAATACTATGCTCAATTGTTAAAAATTTCTAATTGTAGTCTCAAATTCTTACATGGCTGGTTGTTTAAATTTAAAAAAAAACATGGCCTAAACCAAATAACAAAACATGATAAGAATGCATCCATGGATGACACTGTCATTATAGCTACAATTTCTAAATTAAGAGAAATATTAAAAAAATATAATCTAAAAGATATTTACAATATGAATGAAATAGGATTGTTTTATTAGTAAAGATAAATAATATTATGACAGGTAAAAACTGCATCAGAAGGGTTATGTTATTGATGCATACCACTTCCTAACTCTAATTAATTGTAGATTTGCATCAAAAAAGTAATTTAAAAATGCTAATTCACCCTTTTTATATCCATACTAATAATAAAAATTAACTCAGGTTTCACTTTGTTATATAATATTTATTGCATGGGTCTTATATAACAACCTATACTTTTTTCATTTACTTACTGAAACAGATTGTATATAAGACTGTACAATAATATAGTTATTATATGAACTACAAAATATAACTAAATTTGCAATATTAACTATATTACATGGCCTTTGGCCATGTAACATAGGTTAACCTCACAAATTTATTTATTTTTACAATTCATACAATCTTTAATACTTAGCTTTTTATTTTTTCTTATTTTTTTTTTCTCTTTTTAGCCTTGAACCAAACACTATGCTGGCAACAAAAAGTCTTAAAAGTAAAAAAAAAAATAAAAAGCGATTAACTGTAGTACTTTGTGTTAATGCTAATGGGACAGATAAAATTAAGCCATTTGTAATTGAAAAGTTCCCAACCCATGCTGTTTCAAACATGTCAAATGCAACAAACTTGATGTCATATATGCCAGTAGTGCTAAAACATAAATGAATATTATATTATTTTAACAATGGCTTAAAGACTTCGATTTGAAGATGGCTGGTTATAAGATGATTATCCTAATAGATAGTGCAAAATGTTATTCTTTTAGTAATTTAAATCTTAAAAACACAACTGTCCACTACTTTCTATCAAATACAATATCTCATCTTCAACCTCTAGATGCTAGCATCATTATGTCTTTCAAGTGTTGTTATAAAAGTTATTTTATAAAATGGTTGTTTGATTTTTTTTTTTTTTTTTTTTTTTTTTTTAACTTTGGCGACAATGCCAGTTGGTTTTTTATTAGCTTAATCTTTGATATAGTACAAATT